TCAGGGTTCATGAATTCAAGTCTTACTATACGATTTTTAAAATTTCAATTATTTAATAACCCAGGCAATTTCATGAAACTGGGACCGATTCACCGGTTTTTCGGTTAAACTAGCCGGTTAGCCAATTTTATCATTGTTCATTGACATGGTAGTTGCAGCAGAGAGGAGAACACATGTTATTTTGGATTGGGAGTAATATATATTCAGTCCTTGTTACTTGGATTGATACTCTTAAGCTTGAATCACCGTACTTCGATTGATCAGGCAACTAAAACACCTAAATTCATAGATTGTGTCAACTGTCAAAAGACACAAAAAGATCATTATCCCACCGTCATCAGAAGCCCATCTCCTCATTAATATTATTCTTCCTGGACAAAGCGAAGATGCTTTCCAAGCTCGATCCTAATTAATACAGTTTAAAAACATTGGCTGGTATGTTTTTCTAAGGCTCAGTTTGGAAGGAGTACAAATATAAATATGTAGAGTGCAAAACCTGGTATTTTGTATTATTTTGTATCTATTTATAGTGTACATGTCTGTACTCTTACGCTCAATTTAAAAAGAATGCAAATACAAATATATATAAAATAATACAAAATACAGACATGTACAAAACCTGGTATAGTGTACATGTCTGTATTTTGTATTATTTTATATGTATTTGTATTTGTATTTGTACTCTTTTTAAATTGAACGTAAGAGATTCAGTTTGGAAGGAGTACAGAGACAAATATATAGAGTATAAAACCTTGTATTTTATATGTATTTGTACTGTGCATATTTGTATTTGCACTCTTTGTAAATTGAGCCTAAGAGGCTCAGTTTGGAAGGAGTACAAAGACAAATATATAGGGTGTAAAACCTTGTATTTTGTATTACTTTTTATGTATTTGTACTCCTTCCAAACTGATAGCAAGACTCAGTTTGGAAGGAGTACAAATACAAATATGTAGAGTGCAAAACCTGGTATTTTGTATTATTTTATATCTATTTATAGTGTACATGTCTGTATTTGTACTCTTTCCAAATTAAGCTTAAGAAGAACTTATGACGCCGGAAAAACATGATACCGGAGAGGTTTTAACCAATCACAACCCCCCCCCCCCCCCCTTCATGAATTTTGATGAATACCCTCCTACTTTTATGAAGTTGGTTAATCGGTTGTAAGTTTTTAATAAAAGGGTGGTGCAGCAGGCCCATTGTGCAGTAGTGTGACGCATGAGCGACGCCTGAACACCTCAATAACAAGTTATCATGGTGGCTCCTCCCCTCAAAAAATAAATTGTTGGCTGTTTAAACAGGAAAACCAAACAGCAGAAGGATAAATTCAGACAACCCGGAGTCCGGAGACCCTCAATAAAATCTGACTAAGGTTACAGGATAATGCAGAGATCCTTCAACAAAATGTGAACATACCATAATTTGTAATAAATTTGAGGCATTACATCAATTTTCTTTTAATTTAGGCTCAGTTTGGAAAGACTAGAAAATATGTATACTGTAAATATATACAAAATAATACAAAATACAAGGTTTTGTCTAGTTCTTGTCTAGTGTCTACAAATTTGTATTTGTACTCTTTTCAAACTGAGCCTTAAGAAATAGTTCTTGTCTAGTGTCTGTCGCAAAGAAATGTTTTCTCCAAAAAATAGAGACCGGGCACAATCATTTCTTAAATTAGTTTCTTTGGGGCCGCACGACCTTTTCATTTGTCTAGTGCATTCTCCCCACTGTACTCAGTAAAAAAATGAAAAAGAAGGAAAATAAGAAAGAGGAAAAAAAAAGATTCATATATTTTATGGTAAATTACAAATATGTATCTTGCATTCGAGGATAATGACACTTAAGCTATGTTTGGCTTGAAAGAAAAAGTAGGGAAAGGAAGGAAAAGGTAGGAAAACCTTTACAAACTTTGTATAGATTTTCCTATCTTTCTCTTCATTTCCTTATTTTTTTCTTTCAAACCAAACACAGCCTAAAAGGCATAAACTTTGAAGTGCAATAATCGAATACTTTGAACTATAGAAATATACATTCAAATCCAAGCCCATTAAACGTTATATTGAATGGTGAATTTACCAAAATACCCATTATCTCTTGATTTATTTAATATAAATATTAAAATTTGGGAGAAAATAAATGTTGCAAAATATTTTTGCTATGTTTGCCGATATTGGGATCCAACATTGCTTGGCCTTCTCATTTGAGCCTAAAAGCCTCTATATTTTAGATGAGATTTGTACAGGTCCATGCATTGCTTCCTCTCTATACCCAACAATTATTCCGATGTCAATTCTGAGAATGAAATGGAAAATGAAGGGTTAAAAAGTCGGATTTGAGAGAATAAATAAAGGGCAAAACAGTCTCATAAAATATGCAAAGGGTAGTTTTTAAATTTTAAAATGTTTAGACTGCATTTGGTTGCAGTGCAAATAAATTTACACTGATACAACATTACGGTAGTGTAAATGATTTAGGTGTAAATTTTGATTTATTTTTATTTCAAATTTTATCTTACTTTGTTTAATTGCAATATAAATGAAATAAAATAAGATCTGAAATAAAATTTGCACTCCATGCATTTGTATTAAGGGAAATAATATTGCATTGCAACTAAACACGGCCTTAATAACACACATGAATATATATTACTAGAAATTCAGGGTACTTGATTGTAACACTCGATTGGATTTGAATTTATATTTTTAAAAGTTCAGGATACTTGATTGTAGCACTTCAAAGTTCAAGCCCTTAATTGTCAATATACCAAAATTAAAGCATACCTATATGTAATTTATCGTCTATTTTAACTGTTCTCGTTTTAGGATGTTTGATGACGATGGGGGACACATATATGAGAGTCGTAATCAATATTTAATTGGATTTTCAATCATCCCAACTGCTTAGGTGTGACAGCGTATTAATACATTCAAGTGATTCAACATGTTACTCTCTGTCACAGCTGTCTTACAGTTATGTGTCAACAACTCTTGCCACGTGGCCAAGTTATAGCCTTTCTATATATTTTTTTAATGCTGAAAATCAATTTAAGCAAGCAAGAGCATGGCTTGAGCTTCAGAGGATTGTTCCTTTGTGCAACATTGATGTATATATATTAATGCATGGTTGGACCAAAAAAACATAGATGTAATGGTTTGGGGGGACCCTTTCCATATTCATTCCTGTTAGCCACATACACTGACGTGACATGTTCATGCACGTCTCTGTGCGTTGCATGGTTTTGAAAATCAGATCGGATCAAACACACGGTCAGGCCAGTTGACACGGGAATTGATCATGACTCCAGTTCGATTTTCGACCCCAAAACCATCCAACCAGAGTTTGGGCCATGGCTAAATCCTAAGAACCGGTGGCCAAAACAGTTATAGTCTAGAATTTATTCATCACTTTCTTTTGGATATCATGTTATTGATAATCTATCTCTTGCAACCATTTTAAAATTGTATAGATGTGAATATAAATATGGAGCTCTACTCAAGTTGAGAGAGTCTAATTAGTAATTTCTCGAGTCGAACTTGAGAACACATTTTCTGGGACCCTCAATTCAGGACAAACCCGAGACCCTTCAGTGAGTTTTGAACACGCTAGTATTTTAATCCAATACTGGCCGATTTGACGTGATACTTCATCTTTTTCAACGAACGCTGTCATGTTTAAAAATAACTAGGGGTTCTCGGGCTTATCCTGCGATAGTGTAACAAGTGTTCTCTTCGACGCGCCATCAAATGCCATCCACTGTGTCTACAGCCGCAATTCCAACGTCCAAGTGTGTACCATGGGTGGGTTAAGCATGTATTTTGTATGGGGGACTGCCAATGGCAATATTGTAATATTGTAGTATGCTTTTTCATCTTTTGGACGTTTCTTATTGTCACTCCCCCAAAAGCTTAACGTACTCTTTGAGGGGAGGTAGGTAGTCGAGTGAGCTCATAAGCGTGTAAAGGTTAAGCACGAGATCCCCTCGACACTGTACCGTGTGCTTGTGCTTACCACTGATTTATGCAATACAAGTAGCCTTTTGCTAATTCGTGTGCCTTCTTGTTGCCTGTGTGTGTGTTTGCTTTGTTTCGTAGGTTTACTCGCCCATTTCGAGTGCCGCACGGGGCCCCAACGATTACCCCCGTTACAATAGGGTCGCAGGAAATGCGTTCTCCTCGAATTTAATCTATATCTATACTACCTATGAAAGAGTGAATGTCTCTTCTTTTTGGAATTTTAATTAGACATTTTCTATCCTCTTGTTTAAGCATATAGTGGGCATAAAAAAGGGCATATATGTCTTTTATTCCCACTTCAGAAAATTATCCACTTTTTTTTTGAAAGTTTCAATTTTGTTTCATTCATTCAAGAGATTGGTACAAATAAATGCCATCAAACCAAATAAAAAACAGAGATACATTCTCAACAAGAACAAAACAAAAAATATGAGACTCAAAAGAACTTCTGCAACCAAAACAAGGTGACTTAACATCACCAACAGAAGTGAATAAGAGCATCTCCAAACTACCATAACTAGCGAACAAACTGACAGGAGTTACCAATCATTTCAGTATAGAGGAAGTTACATAGTCCCAATAACTTCCAACCACACCAAAAAATTACCCACTTATAACCATCCAAAAACTATCCACTTATAATCGTTCAAAAACTATTCATAGATTATAAATAGTTTTGTTTTAGAAATATTGTCACGTGCATTTGCACGTGTTATGGTATCACAATTCTCAACCAACTTCAGGTCCCACACAATATTCAACTAGCTTGAAAATCAGAACCGACATGCCTTTTGCACCAGGGGAATGAGCAGTAATGATCAGAATAAGTGAGTGAGAGTCTATAAACATAGCGTACCGCCTGCCTCTCTCTAAATAGTAAATATCCCAACTACTTGATAAATCTTGGTAAAGTCCAATAAATAATACCTGTCACACCAAACAATATATCTCATATTTGGTTATAAGAATCGTCATTGCAATTTCTTTGCATCAATATAGTAGCAATGCAGCTTCTTTATGTAATAAGAATGGATTCTGTTCCTTCTACTTCCTTAGCCATGTTTCTCATTCTCTCTACTTCCTTGTTCCTTTCTCACCTCATTCAAGCTGCACTCGTCCTACCTCCTAACGTAACCATACCGGCCGTCTATGTTTTTGGAGACTCGGTTGTTGATACAGGCAACAATAACAATCTTGTGTCGGTGATGAAATGCAATTCCCCGCCATATGGAAGGGATTTCATGGGAGGAAAAGCAACAGGAAGGTGTAGCAATGGACGGGTCCCTTCAGACATGTTTGGTAATATTAGCTTTTCTTCAATTTTCTGTACACTTTGCAGAAGATTATCCTAATTCGATTCGATTATGTATCGTATCTCAAATATATATATATATCATTAGTGGTCTATAAGTCTCTTATGATTCTAGTAAAAAGTAGGATTCTTTCATTAGTTGGGAGAAATTTATTTATATATCTTATAAATACTAACCCTCATTACTGATAGATCGGTCCTTCAGAAAAGGGTAAAATACTTAAACCTCCCCAAGGTTTTTCATAAATACTGAAATCTCCCCTTTTAAAATTAGAGTAAGACCCGTCAAAGTTATGTCTAAGAGTAATCAAAAAGTCTCTTTTACCCTTATTAACTCTTTAAAAAGATGACCATTCATACCAAAAGAAAATTCAAAACAAATAAGCAAATAAAGGAAATGCCCCACTTTCAGACCTCCATTGAGAATAAATACCTCTTTTAATTATTATTTCGGGTTTGTCCAAACATGTAACCCAGAGAAAAACCAAAGTTTGCATTAGTGCTGACGACCACCCCAGATCATATGCCTCGTACAGAGCCATAATGATCGGGTAAGATGGAATCCTTCTTTTCTGTTTCATAAACTTTCATATTTAAACTTGAAAACGAGTTGAAATCAGCCCCCACCACAGCACATCCCACCGTAGAACATCTCCTAATTATGCCTCATTATTTCTGGTATTTATCATTGGGAGATGTTTTTAATACATGTAGAGTGTGGGGTGTACTGTAGGACGTTGTGGGGCGCCTCCTTGTGGGGGGTTGATTTGAACTCCTCAGCCCCTCACAAGATTGCCCCCCACAACGTCCCATAGCACATCCCTGCCATGTATTGGGAACATCTCCCGATGATGATATCATCATTATGGTATTATCATCGGGAGATATTCCCAATACACGGCCGGAATGTTTTCGGGGGGAGGGGGGGCAATCTTGTGGGGGGCTGATTTGATCTCCTCCCTTGAGAGCGTGCTCAGTATTTTAATAAAACAAGAAACTGAAATATTTATTTAGTGTTATGTTAGGACAAGATCTAACAAATGCAAGTCGAGAGTTCCAATGTTGATTTGAATACAAACTCTTTGTGAATAATTCAGTAATACTTGATTTGTGAAGTTTTCTTTTTTGGTAGATGACAAAGACCATCGTTGTACTATGGGGTTAGTGACAAATACCCCCTGAACTTTCATTTGCCACAAAAACCCCACCCAATTTTCACTTTGCTACAAATACCCCTCCTTTAGAATTCCATTAGTTAACTTCGATAAAGATCACTGTTTTGAAAACTAGTGTTATGATTGGGCCTTGAATTCTTTGTTGTGACCCATTTCATGAATATGATCCAAATTAAGTTGAGAAAAAAAAACAAAGGCAAAATTTCATAGTGGTTTATGGTGGAAGTGTTCCCATAACCTACCACTAACCACCATTGGGTGTGTAGGGCTCTGCCCCATGGTAGTAAGGACCCAATCCATATTCAACTTATGGGTCCAACCTAAATACGAAGAGTTATGTATTTCGGAGGTTTTTTCTCTTGTATACTTAGTCTTTGTCTTGTGAGAGAAGTCGAGAGATTTTGGGTGTATTTGGGATTTAGGGTTTTCTGTGAGTGAGGTGAAGAGTGCAGAACTCTATATTCTTCTACATTGCTGATTTCATAGTGGATTTCTACTCCTTCGCCTATAGACTTAGCCTATAAGCCCAACCACGTAATTATGTATGTCTTCTCTATTTATTTATCTTTATCTTTGTTTTTCTTTTAACTTTAGGTGCCATTTTGAATTTGTATTTCTAGGTTTTGCACAATAAACAAATGGCCAAACCATTTGGCTCGGGAACTAGTTATGTCACTGGTTCCATTTTGGCCCTAAACCACTATTTTGCAAAAAAAAAAAAAAAAAAAAAAAAAAAACATTGAAATGGTTAGAGAACCGCTGACCTAGATGGTTTAACTACCAAACCATTCAACCCGATTAACAATTCCTAGGTTGCTTCCAAACTAATTACAACTTTTAATTTATTTTAAAATAGAAATTAAAAAATTAAAAAAAAAATCATATCCCACAATCTTGTTCAATTATTCCCATTATCCAAAATTAATTAGGGTCTTTAGTTTTTCCATTTTGAATTTTTTGTAATTCTTTTTATGTTGTAATAGCGAAAAAAATGCAAGTCCTATAAATCGAGAGATCAAAAATTAATGTAAGAGATAAGAGATGAGATATCATTCTAAGATTTGAAATCTGAGATACACAAATTAAGCAAGTACAATCTGGGATCTAAAAGAGATTTAGAGAGATGTAAGTGAACTAAGAAGAGGGCAAACTGTGCTGCAACGACAGTTATGATGAACACGGTAATAGCCAACACTGGCGCTTCCTTCTTCTTCTTCTACTTCTTGGGGCAAACAATGTTGGAACAACGAACGATTAACATGGCGGAAACTATTGTCTGTGCTTTCTCCTCCTCCTCCTTACTCAACTTTAACCAGCGGCCCTTCTCAAAGTTTCATGCTCGCCCCTTTCATAATAATATATATATATATATGGTCTATTTTAATCTATATCTTAATTTGACAGTCATAATGCAAATTGACACTATACTTTAAATCTTAATGGTTTGACCCACATACATGGAAACTAGAGGACAAAGTAGTTCCATTTCTAAGTCAGTTTTTAAAACCTTGAGAAAGATTCACATTCAGATGTTTAAAATTTTTTAAATCCCCAAACTATCCTTTTCTTATTTATTTGAACAGTTTATTATTCAACTAGTTTTCTAAATATAACATTGAAGTCCTCTCAATTGCTCCAACAGATCATTACAGATTTCTGGTTGGATTCAATATTTAAAATGAAATGATAGAGGTTTCTCTCTGATAGATATAAATTTATGGTTTCATTTGATTTTTCTTGATTTATTAGAGAAATGAGTAGATGGTTTTTATATTTTAAGATAAAGAAAGGCATTCATGTCAGTGAAATTAATCAAGAATTAAAAAAAAAAAAGAAAGAAAACTTTATTTCTATGCTAGTGAAATGATTCTTATTATTTTAGCTGGTTTCATTTGGAAAACATGGAGGTATTTTTGGTCAATTAGGGTTTAAGAGAAAATGGCAAGGAAAAGAAAATAAAGTTCAGGTGAGCATTTTGGTAATTTAATGCACTCCATGTCTAATTTAACAGTCAAGGGGTATTTTTTTTAAAGTGAAAGTTTAAGGGGGTCTTTTTTGCATATAAAAGTTTAAGGATATTTGTCACTAACCCCATAGTACGTACAAGGTTCTTGAGAGAGAGAGAAAAGAGAGAGAACTCTTTAATTCACTAGACTTACCAGGATTTTTTGATGAAATAAAATGCAAATGGTTCTAAGTGGTGATAAAATGGTTCCTAAAGACAGACCTCCCTCAAATAATTATCGTTATAACAAACCTTCCAAGAATTCGGGTGGTTTTTTTTGAGTGAAGGCCAAAGAAATATGAGTGCAAAATTGGGGTTTTAAAAAAACTCAGCTATTAGTGATTCCATGTACAAAGTTAACTTGATAAATTGTTAATTATAGAGGGGAGGTCTTTGTCCAAAAATTTGACCTGACAAGGGAGGTCTAAGTCCAACTTGAAAGAGAGGGGAAATCTTAGTATGTAGGTTTAAGATTAGGGGAGATTTAAGTATTTTACTTCAAAAGGGTTAACAATGGACCTGGAGAGATATTTTGCCAATACAATGTCAATTTTTTCATCGGCATTTGGAATCAGTGTAAAACGTCATCAATGCAAAAATGCACAACATTTTATACTAAACCGTGAAAATGACCGTTACTTTTGAAAAAAGCAATGAGTGGAAGAGTGTTAAGTTTTTCATCGATAAAATCAATATAGTATTTACATTGATTATCAATGTAAAACTTTATGTTTGATGAGGTTTTATATTGATTCACGATGTAAAACTCCATTCCATTTAAACGCACACAAAACTAAATCAGAGTGGAGTTTTACGTCAATCATAATTACATGCTCCTTCCAAACGCCTACAAAACCGAACCGATGTAATTGATTTACATCGCTTCCAAATAGGTTCAATTTGAAAAGAGTACAATACAAATATATAGAGTGCAAAATTTTGTATTTTGTACTATATATTTTATATGTAGGGCAAATACAAATATGTATAGGTTTTGCACTGAACATGTCAAGAAGAGAATTAAGAGAGTTTAATTGAGAATTGTGCAGCTAGCATTTTGGGAATCAAGGAGCTACTACCGCCCTATCTCGACCCCAACTTACAGGATCAAGACCTCCTCACCGGAGTAAACTTCGCTTCAGGCGCTTCAGGATATGATCCTCTCACATCTAAATTAGCGGTATTAAGCTGCTCATCATTATATATATATATATTTTTTTAATTCGAATTTGGACATCTGCTCTGCGTAACAGAACTTGTACCCATTAATTTTTCATGCTGAAACAATTAATATGTACATGTATGATCAGTCAGTTTACTCGATAACGGATCAACTGGGGATGTTCAAGGAATACATAGAAAAGCTGAAAGCAGCTGCAGCGGGAGAGGAGAGAGCTAAAAGCATTACAACTCAGAGCTTATACATTGTGTGCTTAGGGAGTGACGACATTTCTAATACCTATTTTAATTCGCCATTCAGAAGGATGGACTACGACGTCCCTGCCTACACCGATTTGATGCTTCAATCAGCTTCTAGCTTTCTCCAGGTGAAACTTGAAAAGAAGTAGAAGCTTATTGATTTCATTAATTTCTTTAATACTAATACATGGGTGGAAGTGCAGGAGCTCTACGGGTTGGGAGCAAAGAGGATAGGTGTGTTAAGTGCAGCACCAATAGGATGTGCTCCGTATCAGCGAACCGTAGCCGGAGGTCCCAACCGAGATTGCGCTGCACCATATAATCAGGCAGCACAGCTCTTTAACCAGAAGCTGTCGTCGGAGATAGATTCGCTCAATCAGAAACTCCCACAAGCAAGGATTGTCTACGTTGATATCTACTATCCTCTTCTTGATCTCATCCAACACCCTCGTAGTTACGGTGAGCTTGCATTCATGAGTGAAAGGTCACTGATGATTGATCATCTTCCAATAGGACTGTCAACGGGTTGGGTCTGGGTCGGGATCAGCTAGAACCAGAACCAATCGGACAAAATATCAAGGACCCGGAATCGAATGGGGCCAAATTGATAGGTTCTCGGGACAATTGAGTCTGACTCAACGAACCCAATTATAATAAATAAATACATTTAATATATATTAAATATTATAATATATAATTAATTTAATATATTATATATGTATTATGTGTATATATAATTCAGGTTGAGTCTGAATTAATTCAAGACTAAATGAAACTGATTCCGAGCCAATAATAATTTGGACACTATGGGGTGTTTTGTAGTATGAATGAGAAATTGATACCCCCACAGTCCAAAGCTGTTCTGAACGGTAAATAGATTATGTGGATTAAACTAGTCCAAACCTGAAACTGATCCATCAGTTTCAATTGCTGAAACCAAAACCAACACAATCAGTTTGGATCGATCAGATCCAACCTGACCCATTGATAGCCCTATCTTCCAACCCGTTCAAAGTTGGAAAGTTGAAACAGCTAGCAAAGAGCAACGAATATCAGCTAGGAGCTAGCAAAGTTAGAAAGTTGATCAGAGTGTTTAATTTAATTTTGTAATGTCAGGGTTTGAAGAGTCGAGCAAAGGATGTTGTGGCACCGGGAATTTGGAGGTGACAACGGCGTTGTGCAACGAATTGACTCCCTTCACCTGTACAGACGTCTCCAAGTATGTGTTTTGGGACAGTTTTCATCCCACCCAAAAAGCTTACGAGATCCTCTTGAATCCCCTCTTGCAAAAATATGTCCACCGCTTCTTTTAAGCTTCACCAAAAACAACAACTTTTTGGGGTTTTTGTTAAATCTTGTCAACCACAGATGTGTTTGATGAATCAATCCAATTCCACAATTTAATATAGTGCCCACTTCTTCTTCTTCCCTCTGGTTCTCTCTTTCATCAATGTAGTAGAGCATACATAATAGAAAAAAAAAAAAAAAAAACAGAAAAGTCTAAACTAGAGGGAGGAGCAGGATCTTAGTCTCTTGGTGCCCATTTGGCATGCCTTACCCTGCATCTTTCAGCTGTTTACAAGTCGAGCATATCGATTTTCGGTCTATTTCCGTTTAGCATGCAGAAGATTTAGTCATCAAAAGCTGGAATGTTGAAAAGACACGAAAAGTCCATTTTGGGCTGATTTCGATAACCTCCAAATGAAACTTTTCACGTCTTTCGCGTTTTATTCTCATGTGAAAAGACACAGAAAGATGCACAGAAAGACATGCATCTGCCAAATGTGCTTCAGGCTATTCAGATCTTCATGTAAAAGCTCAATGCATTTTTTGACTGTCAGAATTACTAGAAGATCTTCCCAAAAAGTCACACCAAACGAGTCCTAATCTTCAAATCTAATAAGAACCTGGGACTGCAAATGTCTAATACCAAGCTCAACATGCTCTTCACTATTGAGTCACTCTATTCCAAACTTCTCGAGCTAATTCGTGATTAAATTTTAAAGGTTAAGGTAACAAAGACATAAAGTGGCAATGCCCTCGCTGCAATCGCTAATGTTCTCTTCAATGCCCCAATACTTGGAGATAAAACAAAAAACCAGAAAAAGGAATAGTCCTGGTTTGAGAAATATTAATTATTGACCGACTGATAATCTATCAATCGAGAACTATGAATTTATAGAGTTTTAGTACAAAGTGTTTGAAGTGTACAGGAGTTATATATGATAAGTATGATACAAGAGTTACAGGAAGAGTACTTCAGTGAAAGGATGTGGTTCATGCTCATCAGTGGAAAGAAGAGAAAAGAAGAGCACAATGAGAGAAGAGGCTAGGGTGCCGTGTAGCATTATGTGAAGGGGGAACAGTAGGAGTATTATCAAGGAGCTCTCGAATGCTACAATACCACACTAATGGGTGAGAAGAACCATCAGGAGGTGAGGGTGATGATTCAGTTGTAGGTGATATACCGGTGGTTGAGAAGCCGGTGCAGTATCAAAGAGAGATGATTGAGCCGGTGGTTGAGAAACACCTTGGAATGGAGTTGAAACATATATACCAGTGATGAGGAAGATGATCGAAGTCTAGGAAACAGTCCTTCATAAGAAACGTGTCTGGCGGCAACAAATATCCTTCCGGTGGGAACAGGAAGGCACTTTTAACTTTGTGAGAATTACTATAACCAACAAACAAGCACTTTGACGACCAAAACATAAATTTGTGCTTGTTGTAAGGTCTCAACAAAGGATAACAAATACATCCAAAACAGTGGAGCATTGAGTAGTCTGGAGCTTTATGAAACAACTTCTCATATTAGGATATACCATTCAATGAGGGAGTCAAAAGCTGATTAATCAAATAAACTGCAATCTAAGCGGCATCAGTCCAGCAAAAGGAAAAGGGAGGATTCAAGGTGGCCAGTAGAGATAGAGTTGATTCAATGACATGTCTGTGCTTTTATGAGGACAAGCTAATCGATGGATAATTCCTTGTGAATCCAAATAACAACAGAGCTTCTAATACTCTATGCCCCAATAGATTGAAAACAACAAATTTTTACATTAAAAATAAACATTGGAGAAAATTGTTGTTGCTGCTTATTCTATTGTTTCCGTTGCTTTTATCTCTAGCAATGTTTGCATTAGGAAAATTAGAAAAATGTACTTGTTCTTCAAGCCAGTTTTCATGATTTGAGTAAAGAATCCAAAATAGCTAATATACCAAGATCTGTTGCATCACGGCCGTTGGTAATAATTGTCACCACCAACCCGTATTCGGTTCCAAAGCCGACAAGGATGTATAATAATAGATCTGACTTTAGAACTGGCTCTGAAACATTGGAGAGATTGTCTGTATTGATTTAGCACATTAGATGTAGGCTCATATTGACAATGATCCTTTCTTGAGGCTCTGCAATTGCCTCCTTAGTTTCTGAATTCGATGAGTTGAGTAACTTTGAACCAAGGTTCCCTAGATTTCAGCTGTAGTAGACAGACCCACTACCTGGGCGGGGCCACCACTTCTTCAATAAGTGAAGAGGTCAGCCAATTTAGTACCAATTAGGTCAAGGTCTATCCACTTATCATATTTTGGATTATGAATGTTTCCTGATAGATCTCTCGTTGAACTCTATCAGACATAACAAAAAATGGGCAGACTAGGCACGACACAATAGGTAGCTAGTAGACTGTACTTAACTTGATGGGGAGATTAGGGCCGTCAACGGGTCAAGTCAAGGTCGGAATCAGCTAGAACCAGAACCGGCTCAACATGAAATGTGAGGACCCGGACCCAGACGACCCGATAGGGTCTGTAATTTTTGGACTCGGAACTGAATCAATCGGTTTCCGGGACAATCAGGTCTGACCTGATTGACCAGATTATAATAAATAAAAAACAAATATTTATGTTTAATATATGTAAAAATGTGGATTTCAGCCTTGGAATTCATGTTCCACCACAACTAAAAAATGTTTGGCAAGAGTACAAATTATCATTGCAAAACTAAACCAATTTTACATTTTTATGAATCAAACACATTATTTGCATTGAACATTTTTGTATATACACTCTTCCCAAACGGAGCCTTATTCCTATGCAGCACTCCACAAATCCCTATGCAATAACTTAGCAAAAGTTTTCTCATAAATCCCGTGATGGGTCCAAATGGTTTAAGAAGCAGGAACTTACTGGTTCACCGGATCACCGGTTCAGTTCAACAGTCCAGTGTCCAGTGAGGTGTCTGACAAAACCTGAAGAAAGGGTTTACAACCTAGTGGGAACTGTACATATAATGAAATTTCAAAATCTTCTGTTTTATAGAACCTGCAACAGAAATTATGAAGGAAGACTGCAATATCTAGGACTTGGGCCTAACGCCTGCAAGATACGGAAATGGATCCAGGGCCTCAATAACTGGGCCGCATGCGCATGGTAAATTCTCAGAGGATGATTATCCATAAATGGTTGAATTGGCTCCCTCCTAAAAAAATAACAGGCCCAAGAGGAAGACATTTGTTTTAAAATATGAGTAGAGCAAAAAACTTGAACAGAGCCCGTTTGGGAGGGCTTTGGCTTTGGAGCCAAGCTGAATATCTAGTTATTCAAGTTCGGCTTGGCAAAACACTATGAGGCTCAAGCTTGAGCTCGAGCGAGATTTGAGTTCAAATTTGGCTCAAGTTAAAAGCTCCTAGGTTCAATCTCGGCTCGACTCGACAACTGTGAGCCAAACATTTTATAAAAATAAAAAAGTATACATATAAAAAAATAAAAAATAAAAATACATATAAAAATACATACATATAGATAGATAGATAGATAGATAGATAGATAGAAAGCTCGATTAGGCTTGTGAGCCTCACAAGCCGAGCTTTATTGGGCTCAAGCTTGGCCCGTTTAGAAAACGAGCTTATATATTAGCTCGATCTCAGCTTGAAAATCGGTTTAGACTGAACTGAATCAAACTTTTCACGAGCTGAGTTCAAATAACTCGTGAAAAGCTCGGATCGTGGCCACCCCTAGCTTTGATGGAGTTGTATTGATTGAACTGTGTTAGAAAAGTTAGAGAAACTACTAAAACTAATTTCACAGGAAATCAATTTATTAGCATGATTAAAGCATATTCTAACTTTCCAGGTTTTTTTATCAAACGTAGCTTTTAAATTTTGTTGGCGCCCACCCTGAAACGCCAGAAGCCACTGTGTGAAAGCCCTCCCTAAACAGGCAATAAATGGGGGACTTTTAACTTGTGTTTCACCTAGGAGTGTCAATTGGACTAGATTTGGTCCAATCTGATCCAGTCCAATATGAGTCCATTGCAAATGGACCAGGTCCAATCCAATCCAATGAATTTTTTGAATCATTTTGGACCGGTCAAATTCAATGTCTGGACCGCCCAATCTGTTAAAGTTGATTTTAATTTAGATTTATTCCATGCAAAACTGGTCCATTGACACATGTATTCTTTCTCTTCTATCAATATATTGGATATTGATTCAATCTGACCAAATCCAATATAAATCCATTCCGGATGGATCAGGTAAAATCCAATCCGATAAATAATATGGGACCATTTAGTCTTAGATTTGTCCAATTCAATATGTTTTATTAGTCCATCCAATCCATCTAAATTAATTTTGATTTGGACAGGATCCAACCATTTAATGGCTCCCCTCTAGGAGATGGTTCAGATGTTCTACTCCAGATTACTTGCACAGTTTGATAGTAATAATTTTTTTACCACCCACCATCCAAGTATCCAACTGATAGAATTAGTTATGAGGACCCGGACTCATTGATGAATTAATGCAGTCCCAACCAAGATATCACCAAACCACAAACAGAGAGAATACGATACCAAATCAAGTCAATAACCATTGAAACATAAAGCAAATGAAATTAACTTTGTCAACCAATTTGAACTCTATAATAAATAAGGTTACAGAAGTTCCCGAGAGGTGAAATAGGACCTAGAACGGGAAGCGTCCTCTTGTGTGTTTAAACTACAAGCTTGAAGAGCAAAATAAGACGACAAAAGAAGATCCTTGTTGAGCCAAGCGTAACACAGGAATGGCTTTTGCTGTAAACAGATCACTTTTTCTTAAACCACAAGCTTAAAAAATGGACAATTTAGGAGATCATGTTAATACAGGCTAAACCCAAAGAACTGGCTAATGAGAATGGCAAATCCAAGACCAATTGCAATTAGGGAAGAACCCCAGGTTAGTTTCTCAGTTATTCTTGGGACTCTTTCTTTCAACGCCTGACTACAAGAACCAATAAGCACAGTATAACTCCCCATGGCAATTACGGTTCCAAGCAAGAACATAGATAGAAAGGCAGCACCAGCTAACCGTGAAGGCAGAGCTAGCGCAGGAAGAACCATCAAAAGGGCATCTGGTTGAAGCCCATGGACAATTCCAGTGGCAAAAGTTGCAAAGCCAATTTTCTTTTTCCCTACTGTTGGTGTTTCAAGGGCTTCAAGGGCACTCACATCACACTCCCCATTCTCAAGGGCGACGCATGGTGTAGGGACCTCTGAAGCCTCCCTGATTCCCATAGCCCCTATAATGAGAAGAGTCAAGCCCACCACTCTAGTACCCCATGTGCGTAGGACCTCAATGTGGAGACGGTTCTTGAGAAGCAGAAACAGTAAACCAAAGATCATCTGACCTGCATCATGGCCACAACCCCAGAGAGCCCCAACTGCAGCACTCTCCAGCCGTGAACGCCCAATTGAGAGTGGAGCCAAGGCAGCAAGATGATCAGGCCCCGATAATGTATGTAAACAGCCAGCAAAGAAACCAGTCCAAGCACTACTTAGTAACTCAGTCCGAACCAGTCTTCCCCCCACCACAGCACCAGCAGCAGACCCCCCTGTTGCAGTTTGTATGGTAGCATAGGCAGGAAGAGCAAGAATTGGGTGGACCAAGAAAACTATTAAAGCAGACAACAGTATAATCGTCATAGCAGGAACTACCTGAAACAATAGAATATGGAAATTATGTGAGTACTGCCAGGAATAAATGGGATACTTCATGATTCATCTGTTGGTATAATTGAACTCAACAGAAGTCAGAGGCAGGTTGTGCTGATTAAAGCCAAAAACAACAAAGATAAAGGTTACTTGCCAGTAGCTGCAAATGCCCATGTACATCTTTCTTTGTGTATGCACATGTATTCGACAACATAATTATCTCATGACTATCAAAAAACAAAATGATCTCATGGCTGTGATGTTTTGACAAAAGCACAAGATAGACTTTGTAGCTTCAGCATATATACAGAACCCCTTGGTATAAGAGCCAATAAATTAAATTATGGTACAATGTATCTACACGGGGACGATTGCCTCATTACTCAACAAAAATATGGTTATGTAGACATGCAACTATTAACTTTTATCTGCAGCTCTATTTAGTTTATTTCCGTAAGTAAGATCTGTCAAACTATCAAATAGTTTTGTTAAGGTTACATGTATTGATGTTTTTCCAAGTAATTCATCTAAAGAAGATCTACCAGCAGACCACCTATTTCAAGTTAAAAAACATGAAGAAAGGAATAGAAATAACCATTGCATAAGCTCCTTTATTTGAACTTGCTTCCATTTGTCCTCTTCTGCTTTATTTGGGAAAGAAATAATCAAAGCTTCCAAGGAAAAAGTTCATCCACTGATGTTCTTGAAAAAATTAAGGCCCCGTTCGCTTTTTGGTAAGTTACTTACCTGGGTAAATGCAGTTACCTGGGTAAGTTTTTCCTGGGAAACACTTACCCGGGTAAGTGCACTTACCCATGTTCTTTTATTTCTCATGTAAATAAGGCAATGACCATTTTAGCCATAAAAATCCATTATTAAAAAAGGCATTTTTGTCCCATTCAAGTGTTGGCAACTTTCCCCATAAGTGGGAAAGTTAATTTACCCACCTAGGAGATGGGTATCACTTACCCGGGTAAGTGGAAAGAAAAGGGCAGTGGAAAGAAAAGAAGAATAATATGAAGTACCATAAGTTCCCTGTCCTGAAGAGCCCAATGCCATCAATGTTAACATAGCATCAGTTACAATGCATTGCCTCACACTAGATACTACATCACTAAAAAGTTTCAAGTAAATTACAAAACCTTAGTTTTTTCATCAGCAACCACAAAAAAGATTTTCATGAATGATTAAAAAAATTAGATACAACAAGAACTTGTGAGCAATTAGCATGCCCGATACAAGGCAAGCCACCCAACCCTTATTACAACTGTGCCCAATACAAATGTTGTCTTTGAACTTCTTGCTTAGCTAAACTATCTGCTAAACTATTGGCAGATATTGTAAACCAATGAACTTGCAAGTTCATGTCTTTTGACTGCCACTTTTTTTTTATCAATAACACTTTCATTAAATCATCAATAGAAGATTAAGAGGAAGACAAACACACTTATCTTCCAAGAGCAACAGAGAACCTCAAGAAAAGGAAAAAAAGAAAAAAACACTAAAGTTACAGCTTAGCCCAAAACAGTGAATCCCTTTCTACCCCTTGTTTAGCTAAACCGTCAGCTAGGGAATTTGCCGATCTTTTAACCCAACATGTCTTAACTTCCATCTCTCGCACCAGCCACTTGAATTTCCTCCTTTCATTATTGTACTTCMATAAACCAWTGTGMTCTTTAAKCAGSCACCCTATCACCACCTCTGAATCCCCTTCAATTAAGAGTTTC